GTAGCATAGTTTTCAACTACAATCACAAACACAGCAGATTTACCTTCTGATTCTGTTATCAACACTAATCTCAAAGTCCCTTTTGCAAAAATGTTCCTTGTGTGAAACACTTCTTTAATAAACTCTCACCCAGCAAGGGGATGAGAACATCAAAGGTTCTTCTGGACTAGGATTCTAGAAAGATCACCTTTGAAGCACAGTTCTTTTGGTAAAGATACTAGAAAGAGCTAAATAGTGATGATGCTATTGTATAAATTCCCTTCATTAGATTTTCAACTCAGCCTGCTGCAGTTGGAAAGTTGGCTAAATGTGCCATCATACTTGTGATACTGACCAAATCGCTCAGGAAGGAAGGCTTGGACCAGAAAATACAGGAATTCAGCACTGTTCTCTTATGTGGCAAGTCAGGAGAAATGACCAGGAAATGGATGCTGAGGCCTTTGGAATGACAGAGGGTCACATCTGAGAGACCATCCTATACTGGGTCTTCCTGTCGAACTGCTGACCACATGCTCCCATGGCGGTGAGTGTTAAGACTTCACAGGAAGTTAATGATAACAGGGAAGTAAGGAAGATTTAACTGTCAGAAAACAGGCAGAGCAGTGCTGTTAAGAGGGTACAGAGCTCACGAAACAGCACGGCTTAACAAAAGGGAGAGGACAGTTTCTCAGAACAGGAAACCAATAAACAGTTTGTTTTCTTCAGAGGAGACAGAATCAGACAAAAGCAGGAAGTGCTGTCCTTCCTTCATCCTGCCAGGTTTTTAATGGAAAGTCAAGTGGGTGCATCATTCAAAATAAGGGAGAAGAGACCGAAATGATACCACCTTTGCTTTTTTTTTGAAAGAGAAACACAAAGATGCATCATGTCACACACTCTTCCTTCTCTGCTTTTGAAGAGTCCAATTCCACATTCTGAATATTTCCCACTGAAAGAGCCCCATGCATGCCACCCGTGACCACTTTATAAACTTCCTGCAGAATTCCTGCTATTTAGCATTCAAGACATGTATTTGGGCTGGAAAAAATAATATTATTTCATATTTTTCCAAAACAAAGATTCTGGGTCCCCATTACTTAAGTAAGCCTCAAAGGCACTTGCTTTGCTGTGGTTACATGTTCCACATATTTGGATAGTTAGAAGTAACATAATTTTTAAAAAGACTGTTTGCCAGGGGATTCCAAGAGAATGGATACTAACCACATGCCCTCCAAATTTTGTGTAACATGGAAAATGATGAGAACAGAGAATTTATTTTCACTCATAATCTCATAGTTGCACAATTAATTTAATATGCTCCCTGGTGGGCTTGGGCTAAAATGGCATTTTCTGGAATAGAAATCCAATTTCACTAAATTATATTAAATAAGACTGAAAGAATATGTACAGGCTGCCTGGCTTGTAAATTTGGTTGGGTATACAAGTTTTGTCTGTAATTCAGTATTTTGTACCAGAGTACATTTTAAAATAATGAAAAAGAAAACAATGTTCAAAGTAGTCGTTAGTCCCAGGTAAGCCTGCCCAAATCTATTTCCCCATTATACCTATATAGTATTGTGTTTACAATACTGCAGAAGTGGTAATGTACTAGAAGAAACAAGCATAGCTAACACACTGAGTACTGTGTGTATCTTTAAGCCCCCTTTAGTCCAAAAATTCTATTATTCCATTTGCTAACTTCTAGATGTAACTGTGTTTGACTAAAAATGTATTCAGAGTTCCAAACTGGATTAAGATCAGCATCCTTTTCCCTTTATTGGCGGAGGGAGAACGGGGGTTGGGGGGGGGGGTGGGGAGAGCTTCTAGGAAGAAGGAATTAGTGCATTTGAGAATTCTGATAGACATATGGAAAAGGGGTGTAAAGAACTGTTCAGTTGGGAATGAGGGGCTCATTAGGGCTTGAGTTTCTAGTTGGAATTCTGCTGTTGGGTTCTTCTTCATGCCTATGGGCTGTCTGGGATATTTCTCTTTATATTCAGGATTTTACTCCTCCCAGGACTGTCGCTCATCAGAATACAGAGTCAAAAGTACCTCCCTTGTTCTCCTATCCCTGAAACAAGTATATAGTCCTACTGAGGCTTTTTGTTTGCTTGTTTTGTTTTGAGTTTTTATCACCAGCAACCAAGAATCGAACAAGAAGTATAAGGGCTTCCTGCTATATATCCATGCTGCCTCCTTTGGCCTGCCTGTATGCTCAGTCATGTCCGACTCTTTGTGACCCTGTGGACTGGGGTCTGCCAGGTTCCTCTGTCTGTGAGATTTTCCAGGCAAGAATACTGGAATGCATTGCCGTTTACTCCTCCAGCAGATATTCCTGACCCAGGGATCGAACCCAAGTCTCCTGTATTGCAGGCAGAGTCTTTACCACTTGAGCTATCAGGGAAGCCCCTTTTTATACTGTTCCCTTTCACTTTGACCCTTGTATAAAAAAAGATCAAGGCCTTTGGATAAATAAAAGATGGAAGAAAAGAATCTATCTGGATTTAGATTAAAAAAAATCTACTAGACTTCAAAGTTTGACAGCATATCTCTTTAGGAAGAGTAAGGTGCTTCAGGGAGGAGATGAGGCAGAAACTCAAGATTCTGCCTTCCAAAGTGGCTGGGTCAACTAGCAGAAAGGAGATGGTAAGTGCATCTACTCTTCCCTATTTAATCATGGATCTTCTCAAAGCATACAACAGGAAACAAGGAAAAACAGGTAAGTGATGAGAAAGAGAAGGAAGATCAGAAAGAAACTCCACGGTACAGGAACATAGACAGAAGAGGTGCCTTTGGCCAGTACTAAGCAGGGTTAATATATGAGCAGTGATTCAGGAAGGTTGTCTATTCAAACTCGTATTTAAACATGACTGCAGCCATGAAATTAAAAGACGTTTACTTCTTGGAAGGAAAGTTATGACCAACCTAGACAGCATATTAAAAAGCAGAGACGTTACTTTGTCAACAAAGGTCCGTCTAGTCAAGGCTATAGTTTTTCCAGTGGTCATGTATGGGTGTTGGACTGTGAAGAAAGCTGAGCGCCGAAAAATTGATGCTTTTGAAGTGTGGTGTTGGAGAAGACTCTTGAGAGTCCCTTGGACTGCAAGGAGATCCAACCAGTCCATCCTAAAGGAGATCAGTCCTGGGTGTTCATTGGTAGGACTGATGCTGAAGCTGAAACTCCAATACTTTGGCCACCTCATGTGAAGAGTTGACTCATTGGAAAAGACCATGATGCTGGGAGGGATTGGGGGCAGGAGGAGAAGGGGACAACAGAGGATGAGATGGCTGGATGGCATCACCGACTTGATAGACATGAGTTTGAGTAAACTCTGGGAGTGGTTGATGGACAGGGAGGCCTGGGGTGCTGCAGTACATGGGGTTGCAAAGAGTCGGACACGACTGAGCCACTGAACTGACTGAACTGAACAGAATATTAGATCCAGAGTAGGTGTCTTAGCGATTGTCTAGTCTTGTCATCTTACCAATGGGACAACTGTTTCTAAAGCATCTTTGACAGATGGCGAGGCAGGTTCTGTTTCAGTATGCTAAATAATCTATTTCCTTTTTGGACAGTTCCAACAGCTAGAAAGCGCTTGTAACATTATCACTTCCAACCATTTATTTTGGAACAGGCTCACATAGGTAGGAAATTAGTCTTAATTATTTTTTTTTATCCCCCGAACCTCCAAATTAGTGCACAATGCATGCTCAACAACTTGTTTGTTGGATTAATAGGTATGTAAATTAATGGACATAAGTTATCTGAAGCAACAGGTTAAAATTTACTTTCTAATCTGTATAATAATTCTTTATATATGTGATAGCAAATATCAGTACTAAAATTTTTTTTCAAGTTAACTACATGCAATTTTGTCAACTAACACTCACTGTTCTGATGATCTAATTCAAGGAAAACCTATGATATTACCCATATGTGCCTTTGCCATTTCTTACATAGATTCAAAGAAAATAAAAATTAAAGAATAATTAAAACTTCTTTTTCTCATATCTATTCTTCTTTATTATTAGTCATAAAAATCCTCTGAATTTTCTAAATCATTCTTAAATATTTCAACAATAAATATTATGTGTCAATAGTAAAAAAAATGAGGAAATGAAAATCTGGCATAATGCACTGACAATCTGGGTGTATCTCCTTCCAGATATTTTATAAAGATTCTTAATGTTATTGTCATAGTGCATATATCACTTTATGCCCAACTTTTTACTTAATAATATATCCTGCACATTCTCTCATATTAATTCTTCACAGAGATGATTTAAGTACTTATTATATTTCATTGGAAAGCTATCCAGTTATTTATTTAACCAATACCTCTTGGTTGTAATGTGCTCAATATATCACTGCAATAAATAGGACTGGAGAAAAAAAATCAATGTAGAAGAATTTTTCCCACATCTTTGATGATTAGTTTAGGACAAATTACTAAAATTGTAGTTACTAGGTCAAAGGATACACATTTTTAATAAGACATGAAGTTCTCTGTCTTGAGATGTCTTTCCCAGGCTTCAAGATGAGGTTAATTCCCTTGTAAGGTATTACTGTAGCACTCTGCAACTTGCTTTCATAATCTCCATCACCATTTAAAATATTTGGTTATATTTTAATTTCCCTTTGGACTTTGCAAACTGCACTGAGGTAGGACCATGAACATTTCTGCTGATGGTGTTTTGCATGGGGCCTAACCCATAGCACATACTCAGTGTGCATTTTATTCAGTTGAATATTGTTAAATTGCTTCCTTGAGGGGTGTTTTTGTATTTTTTGTATTCATATACTTGAAGCACTGTTTGCATTTACCCATCCCACTGCATCATCATTCTAAAATAGCGATACTCCAAATGGGGCAAAACTCTCTCAGTGTGATTCACTCTTTTTTTTTTTTCCCCAAAGAATTAAGCCCATGACTTAGAACTCATTTCTCAGCTATTATGAATTCAGTATGTGTATGATGTGCTTTGCTGAGAACTCAGTATGACTGTGATCTGAACATTACCAGCTCTCGGGGTAGGAAAGTTCCCTCTTGGCGGGCTATGACCAGCGATGCAGTCTCTCCCTGCCTAGTGCTCCTCAGCATGGCCACGAGCTCTTCCTGAGTTCGTCCGGTGACATCTCTGCCATTGACCTAATGCAGACAAGCGTATAAGCAGCCAAATTACAACACTGCCAGCCCTGTCCACCCTAGATGGTTTTTTAAAGCATGCAGCAAATGGGCTCTCATGATCAAGGAAATTCTGGGAAGCTGAAAACTGAGTATGTGAGTCCAAACCAATCATGTTTATGATACTAGCAATATGCCAACCATCATTACTATGGTGCTGGACAGTCTCAGACATTCAGTAATTGGCATCGGCAGTTTTTCCCTAAGACATCACATTCTTAGGAAGGACAAATCAAACTGACAGATACCAGAGAATCATTCCTCAAGTAGGGAGGAAGCTGATTTCAAAGGCTTAATTGGTACCATTCTCCGCTGAATACAAACAGGAGAAATGGATTTTTATCACATGGTCAATTCTTGCAGACATGAGTTTTTGTTATATCTACAGTGTTCTCTATGTTAGAAAGTTATAGTCACTAGGTTACCATACATTATTGGAGATTCTAATTTGGGACTATGTTAATCATTTGAACCATTTTCTTTCATGGTCTAGAACTATATACAAAGCTCTGGTGTTGCTTCCATGCCATGGGCAAGTTAAATGGAACCAGTCAGTTTCCATGAAGATGATTTCTTGAAAGGTAAATTGACAATATATGTAGACAAGAAAATAATACTATTAAACAAAAATAAATGGGGGGAAAAAGCCTCTTCCTTTGAGTATTCCAAATACTTCTCCATATGCATAGACTGACCTAACACAGACTGGCCCATTCTTAAAGAAGTTTAAAGAAACTATTACAAGTACTTGGGTGCAACTTTGCAATTCTTAGCCCTAACTGAATATATGATGAACTCATAGATATGACTCAAATCCCCCAGGGACTCTAAGAGGTGGAAGTAAGAAAGAGAAGATAGGAAAAACTTTTCAATATTTGATTCCATATCACTGCCCTTATTGAGGACCTACAAAGTTGGCTATTGATTAACCAGTTTTCTAATTGAAGTCCTTATCTTGTCTACAAGTACACTTTTCAATATAATTAATTGAAAATTTCATAAATTTCATTTAAACACCAAGAAACATTTTATTGAAGATATTCATTCTAATTCTTACCTCCAAAATTCTGTCCCCTGATTGCAGGCGGCCATCTTTTATTGCTGCTCCCTTTGGTAAAATGTTTTTCACGAAAATGGGACCCGGACCATGTATGGAGGAATCTCTGGTAACCACTGTGAAACCAAGTCCTTCAGGCCCTAGTGCATAAGACCAAGAAAATGCATGATCGTCTTCAGCTGGAGAAATATTATATTCAATCTTACAGTTAAACTGATCTAATTTAGACTAACATAGAAAAAGTAAAATACTGACATTCTGTCAAATATCTTAAATATGTTTGAGTTTCTAGTTTTAAATACAGATTACAGTTCTTGACAGGTCATGATTATATTACCATGAATTTAGGGCCAATGTAGATTGTGTAACACTTTCTTTTATTAAGGTCTTAACAAAAAATGCCACATGTTATCCATACACCTGGGAGACTGACTTCTTAATAAACCATAACCTGACTTCACACTTTCCTAAGAAGCAAGAGGCCATCTGACATGTTGGCTTTCAATCAACCAGCCAGCGCATGGCTCAGTCTCCACCTGCATCTCCATTCCTGTGTACTTCATCACATCGCCACATCATTGGTTCCTGCTACTCCCATCCTGTTCTCTTACATCGCCAATCTCTTTTGACTTTTGTCTTTTTTATTCTGTGTCAAGGCATGCTTGGATTTTTCTTTACCCTAAAGAATCCTTACTTCAGTCCTACTGCTTCTTCACTCTTCCAAAGACCTCTCTGTGACCATATCAGTCGTTTTTCCTCTCCTGCTCTTTCCCCTTCTCTAGCTTTGACACTTCTCACCAACCGTTTTCTTGAAATTAACTCCCCTCTTGGTTTTCATGTCTTTATACATTCTATTTTTCTACATCTCTGATCACAACACGTCTGTCACTCTCTCTTACCCACTGATGTCCTGTGTAAACACAGATGCTCCCCAAGGATCTGGAACAACTTGTCCTCCAGACTCTGCCTCGCCTGGCTCCTGTCTCCAACCACCATCTCTCTACAGATGACACTGACATCTCTGTTTGACTCTAATCTCTCTGGTGTCAGTTTCCAGGCTGTCACCATGAACATGCTGTCACCAGCACTTTAAACTTCACTGCAAACTTCCTTCTCCATCCCAGATCCTGGCCTTTTACGCTTAAAATTCTAATTTCTTGTAATGGCATCCCCATCGTGCAAGCCATCTTGGCTGAAAACCAACAATAACTGTAATTCCTTTCTCCTTCCATCTACACCCACTCAGTGATTTAGGCATAAATATTACACTGGGCACCCTTTACTGATCCCTTGTTATCTGCTCTCTTCTTTACTATATCTTTTGCTGTCAGGTTAATCTTCTTAAAACACAGCTCTGGGATGTAATATCCTTTATTTTTGCATCCAAAGCTTTCTGATGGATTTTTAAGGTCACGTTCCGTGTCTAATTTATCTATCCTCAAAGCACTCAACCCCATGCCTTATACATAACTGCATAATTTGTATGAAAAGTACAAGTGATGCATTTATATAAAAAGCCTAATTGTGCATCCTAGTCAATACATTTTCTTCCCAGTATAAAATTCTTATAGGAGGACAAAATTTTGACTAGAGGATCTTTCAGAATAATCTCTACATCCTGATTTAAGGCATATGTTGCATGCTTTAAATATATGTTAAGATGTATTCTAAAACTACCTTGGGATCATTATATTTTCTATTAATTCCAACAGGAATCCATAAAATATCGGTTTCTTTTGAATGAAGTCCTGAAAATCCCAGTGGATTGCAGAAGGTTCAGTGGGTGAAGGGACTATAGGAGAAGTCACAAAATAAAAGCACAGAAATACATAAATGTGTATGTATGTATGTATAATACTGTATAAATATGTATGAACACACATGATCTAGTCATTGATCTGGGCTTAAAATGGATAAAAAAGTTTTAAAAAGATGAAGAAATAAAAGGTTATATATGCTTTTGAAATTAAGAATATTTGAAACATTATTTGCATTGTTGAATTCGTGAAATCACTAATCATCCCGTATTTGCTGAGGAATAATTTTTGCTGGTATAAAACTATTTTAGAGAACCAGAAACAATATACTGGCTTTTCAGACTTGGACTAAAAGATTCTTCAAAAATCACTGAGTGAATGAAAGTCGCTGAGTCATGTCTGACTCTTTGTGACCCCATGGACTCTATAGTCCATGGAATTCTCCAGGACAGAATACTGGAGTGGATAGTCTTCCCCTTCTCCAGGGGATCTTCCTAACCCAGGGATCGAACCCAGGTCTCTGCATTGCAGGCAGATTCTTTACCAGCTGATCCACCAGGGAAGCCCAAGAAGAGTAGAGTGGGCAGCCTATCCCTTTTCTAATGGATCTTTCTGACCCAGGAATTGAACCGGGGACTCCTGCCTCGCAGCTAGATTCTTTACCAACTGAGCTATCAGGGAAGCCTAATCTCACTCAAAACAGAGATGACTGAATTTCAGCGCCTATTTAGTCTAAGTTGTGATACAGTATCAATCTGCTCCTATCAAGTTTGTAATGGTTTTATTTACCAGCATGTCTTTAACATTTTCTTATTTCAAATAATCTACACTCTCCAGAAAAAAGGAAAAGAAAGAATAAGGAAGTACTACAATTTCAAGAATTTTAAGTTACCACAGTATACACTTCAAACTATTCTTTGATTCAATTAAATGAAAGGAGAATTAACAAAATTAGCCTTAATGTATTTCTCTTAACCAATTTTACATGTTACAATAATAGAATGCTATTAAGCATAATTTAATAATTACCTTTCTTTAGGTCAATCTTAATTTTCTTTGCATTCTTCTTGCTGCCAAACCCCATGAGCGGGGAGAGGGAGGGAGAGGATGGTTTTCTACCTAGTCTTGGTACTCGGGGGCTCTTGCTCTGTTGCAGAGAAGATGCATCTTCTTCAGGACTGCTTGTTCCTGTGAGATTTATTGTCTTTATTCCTGATTTTCCAAGGACAGAAGGTGGCTCCTTTGTTCTCAACATGCGATCATTGTTGCCAAAAATGGTAAGAGGTCCAATGACTGATTTTTCATACTGTTCCCGGTTCTGAGGTGGAAGCACGCGGAGGAGCACACTTGGAGATTTCATTGCCTGACGGAAGAGGTCTTGAGCCCTTGAAAGACAGTGAATGTACAGTGATCCTACGTCCCAGCATGCTGTCTGAAGCACCCAGAGTCGCAGCTATGGGAGCAGAGGAGGTGCTCTCACTGTTCCTACCAACATGACTTTGCTAGCAAAGTGCCAGTTACCACGTGTGGCCTGCTCATGAGGCACCACTGCCCTGGGCTATGTGTGCGTTATCAGCGTGCATGATGCTCTCATTCAGTTCTCTTAACAACGATGTTAGGTAGGTATACTTAGGTCTTATTTTACAAAATGAAGAAACTGAGGCTCAGAGAGATTAACTTGTCTAACGACTCACAGCTTTTAAGCATTTCTAAATCTGAAATTCTATCCAGAAGTGTTTACTGAACTCAACAGAAAAGGAAGCTCTAATTTTAGATGGAAAGAAAAAAAAAATCTCTGATGGTGGTCATCAGATGATCATTTGGTTTCCTTTTAGGACTTTATTCTGAAGGACAGGTCTTTTCTAATGTGGATTGTGTTCAAGAAGCTCAATTTTGACACAGACGGTTCTCCATGGTGACATTTGGTAGGTATGTTGGTTGTGCCAAATATCACAGTGGACTGTCAACCCAAAATGCATACTCTCTGTTATTTATTTCATTAAAGAGTATCTGCATTTTTTGCTTTTTTTTGTTTTAGCACTTTGTGCTTTTCTTCAAATTTCCTACTACTTTTTCTTTCCTTCTTCCTATGCCTCCTTATACCTTATGACCAGGTAAAACAACAATCTTTCCCAGCTTTCTTATCAATGAGATGGAGGGCAATAGGGAATCTGGCTCAGTTGGGAGGCAGGAACTTTTTGTTCCATTTCTCTTTCCTATTTCTTGAAACTCAGAAGTGATGGAGGGAACTCAAACAATTACCCTGTGACCATGAGATAGCTTAAAGATAGCAGCCACATAAGAAGGATGGCCAAGTGAAAGATGGAAGATGCCTAACTCACTGGTGATGGTGAGCCCTCCAAACCAAGTGTAGACTGCCACCTCCACACTTACTTGTCCTTAAAAAAGGTAAATTTTGTTTAAGATACCTTTAGTTCAGGTCTTTGTTACTAGCAGCCACACCAAATAAAAATTAATCACAATTCCAACTGCTATCTAAGCTCCTCCTCACCTTATTAATAAGAGCTTACACTGCTAGTAGAGAAGGGAGAAGTCTTCATATAGACAGCCCAACTCCTCTGGTAGATTCTTGACTAGGATTCAATTCCTATTTCATATTGAAATTTTATAAGCCTTGATTTCCACCTCAATAATACAGGGAGTAATGTCTGCCTTGCATTACTACTAAGTCTTGGTAAAAGCACAGTGATATATAAAAATAATATCATTATTTATAATAATTATAATTTTGCCTATTATTCACTGTTTTCAGAAATAGTCCCTAGAGGCTTCATTTTTTTCCTACACTGAAGCAGCTAGTGCCCACTGCCACTCCAGGCACTACTCACCCTTTCTACCCAACATAATATTGGCAACTAATGGTCACAGAGAAGATTGAGTTATTTTTGTTTGAAATAATAGAGTTCGATGATGATTACTAAAGGGTATTAGTAATTAGTCCCTTATTCCATTGTAATGCCAATATACATTTTAAAAAGCATAGGTACACTGCTGCATAGTCTATTTCTTAGGTATAAAGACCTATTCCTTTAACATTTCACATGCAGAGAAATAATTTCTTGAGGGAGAGTATTTTACATTTTTTTTTATTTGTTTCTATTATTCAGTGAGTCCTCATAGACATCTCTCACAGATATTTAGTTTAAGGAAGACTGCTGACACCAAGTAAGTTAATTAATAAGCCGAACTAACAGCCTGTGAAAAGAGTCATTAAATACCAGTCTAACTGACCCGTATCTCAAGAAAAACAAACCCGTCTATCGATGTCACAGAAAGACAGCCAGGCAGGAGGCTTGCTTCGTTCTATACTTGGTCCTTCTCTGGGCTGTCACAGACTCGTGCAGGCCACCCCTGAGTATACTCAAACACAGGATACATTTGAAAAGGGATGTTCTGGAGTCAAAGGGAACTAACCAGAAATTATACCTACAGTTTTGATCATAATGAATACAATAATGATTATAATTAGCATTTTAGGAGTCAATAAAGTAAAAAAAAAAAAAAAGAAAGAAAAAAGGCTTACTGAGCAAAGGTTTTGTCTACGAGGTCCACGTTGTTGATTTTTACAATACATTCATTTTCATGAAACAGTCCCTCCCGTTTGGACCTGCTGTTTTCCTCAATGCCACGAATGAAGAGTCCTAGAATCCTGGATGTAACATTTAGATTGAAGAGAATGACTGAATAATAGTATGCAAGTTGTTTCTCCACTTGCAACTGTTCAGAAATAAGTACTAACTCCTCCTTATGAAAGAAATTATGCTTTACATCCAGGCAACTGTTTGTTACTTAAAATTTTTAGTAAAACACGAAATAAAATCAGAAAAACACACATACCCTTACAACTCAATAAAAGAAGATACTACCCCCCCCAAGACAAATCTACATAAACACCAACCCAGAGCACGCTGATCAATAGCTCCATTCCTCATGCTTTTAGTAAACTTAGAAAAGGCTAGTGTCACTTAGTAGAGTTGAGGACACACGGGATTTGTGGTTTGGAGAGGGCATCACAGAAGGGCTGACTGTAATAAGTAAGTTTGAGTTGGTGTCAAGGGAGCACTTGACATTTGATAACAGGAGAGGATTAGGTTTCACAATAGTCTTTTTGCAATCTTCCTACCTCTTTTGATAATATGCATTTTAAGAAGAAAACATTTAGCACAGACCGCATTACTCAATTTAGAAAGAAGTATGGTCCCATATGTTCGAGTCACTGAATAAAGAGTTGTGTTGAGTGTTCTCTATGCACTTTGGATGGAGGGATATGAAACAGGGCTATAGGACCGGGAAGACAGCTCAGTACAGGCTTGGAATACAGGGGAAATTAAAAAAAAAAAAATCTGGAGCTATCAATAGCCGAGTCTTCATAGAAGAATTTGGGAAGAAAGCAGGATATAAACTGGGTTAGGAGAATGAATGGGATTTGGCTAGGAGGAGACAGAAAACATGCAGACAAGGCTGACCGGGTGTCTGTGTAAGTGGGGCGGGGTGGGAGCTCACGCTGGATGGGGAGGCCAGTGCCATGTGCGGGGGCCTTGAAGGCGAGCTGATGGGCTTATCTGATCAGGCTGGAGTAGTCCTCACTTCTGAGACAGTGGCCAGATGAAAGCAGGGGTTTGGAGAGTGTTGTCTAAAATTTCAATCAGGAAGAATCTGCATTCAGAGAGGATATCCCAAGCTTACTGGTGCTTTGCAGCTGTGGCTTAAATTAGGAGGAAGGAGAAGGGAGTTGGAGAAAAAGAACAGGAGAAAACTACCGAAATAAGAAGAAAGAATTTTGTGTGTATATGTGTGTACTTGGATGCATCTATTACATACTGGTAGTATTTGAACTGAAAACTAAAAGAAACCAAACTTGTGTATATTTTAGCCATTTCTCCCGTGAGGGATTTCCCTGTTCCTTGTGGCATGTAAGGGTCCCAAGTTTCTCAGGAAAAGACAGACAGATACATCTTCCATGAGGAGTCTGCTAGATGTAGAAAAACTTCAGCCTCCTCTTCCCTCATCCTCTTGTTTTCCTACTTTGTTATAGTCCTCCATACAGGTGTCTTACAAGCTATTACGTATTCCCTTTGCATTAAGTCAAATCTAAATAAAACATGAGCACATTTTATGCGTGAATAGTCAGGTCTGACATGGAGAAAGAGGAGTCTTTAATGAAAATGGAGGAAACCATCTTCCTGTTTGGAGCTGCCATAGGGTGGGGACTCTGCCTCTAGGAATTCAGTTCATCTGATGAGCCCACGTCATCTCAAGAAGGTCAGAGGAGAGGCAAATGCAGGGCTATTTAGATTTCTACTGCAAAACAGTTAAATGAACACTGTAGGCTGCTACATGAGAGAGCAAATAGTCACACCACCTACTGAGGGAAGGCTCTAGGTCACAAGCCAAGTGTGCATTGACGCTTCATTTCCAAATTCTAGTAGGTTGGAATTAGGTTTACATTTTGTGTGGAGGAGAATAGGGGACAACATTACTGTGTGATAAAGAATCTGAGATTTAAATTAATATTTGTAAGGTACTAATCCCACCTTAATCTCGTAACATAATATTAAGAATTGAACTATTTGATATGTCGAAAAAAAAAAAAGGAAAGAAAGAAATAGAACAAAATAGTATCTTTCTCCTAAATTAAACAACTCTCTAATAGTTCACATTCTGGATTTTTGTTATGGTGGATTCACAATAACACAATCCATTAGGAGGCTCACATGTGGTTATAAACTAGTTTATGTAAGCGATATTTTTTTAACAAGCATTCAAGTCTTCCTTTAATTTAATTCAGTACATCATCAGTCATGTAATGTTGCTCCCTAGGATTTAATTTCACATTTTGGGAGATGAATTAATTCTTTCAGGCCACTGGGTTGCAATTTAGCTGGCATATTACAGCTGGAGTATGCTATGTGAACCTCACTCATCTAAATAACCTAACTTTCCATGAAAAATTTATTGACAGAATAAGCCCAACTGTAAAACCCATGTGTCAGAGGTAATTTTGGTAAAATGTAAAACTGACTGATTTTATTAGTTTGGTCCCTGGCAACTAACCACTCCTGCCTTCTTTATTCGATGGAAGGGGTGGATTCCCTCCAGTTTGATTTCACCCAGACCCGTACGAGAAGGCTCAGAAAAGAGGCTCTCTTTTTCCTCTTTGTCCCTGATGGATGGGCGGCGGGGAGCTAGCTCATTTGGGACCAAGACTCTGAGACTTCAAAATTAACGCTGTGGAAGCGTTACAGGCTGAAATGAACAAACTAATTTGCATGAAGGAGCACTGATAAAGAAGGCTGAAGTCCATAGCCCAGCAGAATGAGAGGTGTAACAATTGCTTCTTGCCCTTCTAATAATCATGTAGGCACAAACCTACTCACTGCTTACCTCCTCACTGCTTACCTCCTCCTTTCTCCCCACAGTATCATACTGCCTTGGCTGTTTACCAGCTTAGACGTTTTACCTGAGCATATCCTCTCCTCATATTATATGTCCCTCTTCATCCATTTCTTCCTTCTTCTGTTTCATATTTAGCTGTTTTTACTGTGAAGCAGGTATACTATGCTATCTTTATTTACTGACAATTAGATTTCATGCTTTTAATTCTAAAATAAAACTATATATATATATTTCTTTTTTTAATGAAATCAAGTTGCTTTTTACTTGCAGGGACTCTAGGTTTTTTTTCTTTTGCAGTTTTTGTTTTTATTTCACAAGCCAGTTTTTCTCCATTTAAGCAGCATTCTGTATCCCAATGAATCCAACGAGGCCTTGTCTAGTATAGCAGTCAGTGTGTTATACTCAGGGTGTTCTAACTTTGATTAGGGATCTTATTCTACAACAGGTGTGGCTCTATTTTTGTAAAAGAAAAAACATAAAAAAGAAATTAAAGGCAAAGCCAATTACGGTAGTCTTAGTAAATAATTAAATGTAAATTCTAATTTAAAATAATGACACAAACCAATAAACGGAAGGAAATTAAGAACTAAGTTACCACTCTGACCTTAACTCCCCCCACCCTCTGTGCTCACACAGGGTGACCATATGGCATGATGAAGTCAGACACTTGTCTGACACGCTCTACGCGCAGTTGCTTCTAGACACATGGGTTGAGTTAAGTGTGCTATTTCAGCCTGTACTCATTACTTCTTAACTTTTATTGGCTCATGTCTCCACTTCCATATTATTTTTTTATGTTTTTTAATTAAATTTCCTTTCTGTAATACTAGTGGATAGCAAAAAAAAAAAATTATACAATCATTTCACAAAGTTACTGAAAAGTTGACCATGAACTTATAAAAGTTCATTTCTGAACAGGCTTTTCTGTTTTAGACAAAACAGTAATAATCCTAATAATTTACACATTCATGGGTTGTGTGTTTTACAAGGAGTGTTCATATTTTTAATGCCATTTAATCCCCACAATCTTGATGTGAAGTAGGTATTCACAAGAGGCGAGTTTAGGGGACTTGCTCCAGGTTATACAAAAGAGAATACTGAGATCCAAATCCAATTGTTTCAAGTCCAAGTCCAATATTCTTCTTCCTGTTCTACAAGGCTTATGCTAGAAATCAGAACCAGGAAGGAGCAGGGAGCAAATCAATACACTGTAGTGTGTTTTCCTCATTTGAAGTGAGAGAAGGTGATTTCTAGTCTAGAGGGTCAACTTGTTTTCCGAATGACTGAAATTGAAGTAGGGTGACTGTCATGTTGTATATTTCTTCATGGTTTGAAAATTGGGATGATCTTGTGTTCTATTCCAGCTTCATTAAGCTAAAGGGCCTAGTAATTTAGCCACGCTGGTATTTCACAAAGCTCTATCAGTACACTTCTGCCAAAAGCCATTAGAATTTCTTGTGACAACTGGGTAAATACTTGCTCTGTCTATCAAAAACAACCTCAGCTTGTCCTGTGCCATAACCCATAACATTTATAAACACGCTTATTAACACATACAGGAAATGAGATAATAAGAGCCACTAGCTTTTCAGTTCATTTCTTTTTAGGGGACATTCATTCCATCAAGAGCTTGGCATCAGATGTTATTTGCTAAAAAAGGTGATGACTTTGCAATTACAGGTAGCAGATGGCTACCTGCTGAAAATGATGCCAACCAAAATATCATGACTAAATCTGCTCTTGCCACTATATGGCAGACCAAATTGAATAAATACTCAGAACCAGTAAATTAATACTATATAACCTTTGGGGAAAGTTTTGTTCTAGAAAGAACAATGGAGTGAGGACAAGTCAGGAGATTTGGATTTTGTATGACCTTGAGGAAAATCAACTGACTTTTCTGGTCTTTGATCACCTAAACTAAAATCAGATACTTTGCCTTTTTAATGATACATTTAAGAAAATAAATTAAACAAAATAATTTAAAATATGTCAAACAGGGCTAAACTTTAAGTTTCTGACAGCCTTTGTCCATATCAATCTAGTCCTCAAGGTAGCCATCCTCTTGAAAAATAATATAATATCTAATACTTGTTTCATAAGGCTGTTAAAATGGTACTAACATTAACTCTCAGGCACACATTTTAATTCCCATCAGTAAAACAAGTGTTACAACCAGTTAGTGAGGAGCGAGTGATAGTCATTCAGTCGCGTCTGACTCTTTGCGACCCCATGGACTGTAGTCTGCCAGGCTCCTCTGTTCATGGAATTCTTCAGGCAAGAATACTGGAGTGGGTTGCCATTTCCTTCTCCATACATCCAGTTAAGTAGACATGAATTTCAAGAAATGGTGACACAATAATATTACCATTTACTAGCATGAATTTATAAATTTGTCTTTAAAATTTCAAAAGGATGTGTCAAGTTATTTTTGATTGATTACATTATATTTTAGAACAACATAAACAGAATAAAGACATTTTGCTACTTAGCTAAATCAGAATATATTGAATTTCTGATATATACTTAGAATATTAAAATATTTATTATTAGAGGTTCCATAAACATGAAGAAGATCAAGAAATATCAATTTGGAATTATTATATTTCTTTTAAGTGCATTTTTGAATATTAAAAAATTCAGTTGCTATATTTGTCTAACCACACGTTAAAGTCTTTCCATGATTCTGTTTATATGTGTTACTGATAAGAATACTTTAAGAAAGTACTTCTTACTTAATTGTAAATACAGAAAACATGATGTCTTTTCTATTGTATCCTAGAAGTAAGTGATATTATTTTGTTTCTAACAAATAAGTGGCCAATAGAAGCATGTGCTGAGGTGTCCATCTAAATAACAGAGACATACACTTAATCCTCTTCTGAAAAATGTTTGGGAAAATGAGCTCAAGTCAAGTTTTTCATTAGCATGAGCTTCTGATATAAGGAAAACATCTTACCTTCCACTCAGAGATGAAAAGAAAGGCACTACATGTATTCCCAAGGGGCCTCCTTCCCCGGAAATCTCCACTGTTCTTGTCATATCACTGGGACAGAAAAAAAGAAAAAGGGAGTACAAATGAGTCTTCGCCAAAACAAAAACAAAACAACAGATGTGGCATATTAAAAAGAAAACCAAAAAAACTTCAGATTTTAACAACTACTGTAAATTTAACAGCAGAGATGAAATCAAAGGAGTACATGATTTGCTGGAATGTTCAGAAGCTCCAGGAAATAAAATGCTTAAAAGGCTATCTGATTTCTTATTTTTTCTCCTAGAAGAGGAACAAATGGAAATGACTACCTACAAAAATAACTTCCTACTTAACTTAATCTGCATAAATCAACATATTTAAAAAGATGTACGCAAAAATGAAATTTCTCCCTATTGAGACACACTTGAAAATTACTGTATAGAGGATAAAATACATGGAATCAAGCATATCTATGCCTAAAGTATGGCTTTTCCTGCAGTACAGAGGAAAAATGAAATAAAATACGTATTTATTAGAAAAAGCACAAAATTGCATTTTAAACAACTGTGAAGCCACAGCTGGTAATACATATTGGCATGTTCAAATCATTATAAATAAAAACTTGAACTAGCCTTTCAATAAGGCATCAGTTGTATTCAATAGAACAATTCCAAATTTTCACCTCCTACTTTTTTTTTTAGAGGTATAAAAAGAAGTTGCAAAGCCTGGAGAAAATGTATTACAGAAAGAAATAGAAAGCCTGACCTGCCTAACCTACTCCAGATTAAGGGAAGGATGAGCCAGAAACATTAATGGATAGTGTATATGACTGAAATATACAAGGCGCTGTGAGCTTTGGAGTAATAGAAAGTGGAACTAACAAGTGTTTATAAAGATGAAAAATAATAACCGTGAACAATTATTGGCTCCTTTAATCCCAGAGAGAGAAAATAAAATTGCCAGAGGAAAATGATAAAGTTGAAGCAAACATCCCCATTATGGAAATTGTAAGCAGGTCTCTATTGTTTCCTATTTACATGAAAATGACCTGAAACTAGATGTCAAATTAAGAGCTACAGCTGCTACAAATACTTTTCTGCTCCAAATTGAAAACGAGGAAATGTTGGCTCCTTGCTGGAAAGTTGAGAACAGCATTAAGAACGCAAAGTGCCTGATGAATTCACTCTGCATGAAGTACTCCCTAAATTATCAGCAATCTAAAATAAATACATTAAATATATTCTCATCAGTGGATTAGGTTTATTTTTAATGTGTTTTCATTGCAAACCTATTATCATTAAGAACTGCAAAAAAGAGCCTGTTAGCTTCCAACATTTATGGAATGTGATGGAATTTCAAAATTGATAATAAATTTCAAATGAGTTTTGCTCAGATATTGCTGATATATTTAAAATTTGCTCAGTCAAGCAGGTTATAACAGAACCCTAGAATAAAAGTTAAAACAAAAATAAATCTTAGAGTGCTAGTATCATGGAATAAAATATATTCTTCTCCATACTTCCTGTGTGAGCATAGACACTATATGAATATATGCATAGGAAATACTATTGAATATACATATATAGGTATGCATTATAGGTCCTGAACATAAAATGTCTCATGGGAAGAGAAGGTTCTGTACCTTTCAATGGACCATAAAGAAATAACTTTGATATAATAACAGATTTATAGTGCATTTTGAGGTATGTGAGGAACACTAAACCCAAAGCATTCACATTCTAGTGTTACTATAGTGTTGCAAAGACTTTTAAAAACAGACTAAAACTATGTTTAACTACTGAAACTTTATTATCTCTACCCTTTATAATATATTTTTATAGTTTTGTACTTAGAGCATAATACAAATCTTTCTTAATAAATGCATTAAATATATACATGCTGATAGACAGCATTCACATGTTTTATACAGAGGGTTTTGTAATATAAATGTTTAGTCTAGACAATAAGATTTCAGGTTAAAAAATTAGGATGGCTTTATGGATTCTTTTTTTCTAGTTTGCAAGTATTTCTTTATCCCACTCATAACCTCTCCTGTAAGATATAATAAATTCTATGTATCATACTGATACCTACTCTTTAGTAATCATCAATCTTGTATTTTTACATTCACTTAAAAGCAAATCCTATAATTTGTTAAAGTTATCAATCTTATTTCAAAACACTAAAACTTTTTTGGGGAATGCAGTATTAAGGTTCATTTCAACTTTGTAAGATTCTCTTTTTCAGTATTTCAGAATAAACACTTATGCTCTCTTTATATGTGACAGTCACAATTATTTTGGCTGGCATAATATTTGACGTATGTCAAACTACTATCACAAAAATATTACTATCCCAAAAAAAGGAGCATAAAAGACTTTCAATTTTGTTGATTGTAATATGTAGATACTTACAGAATTAATCTATTAGTGCTATAAACAAGCATTACAAGTTTTACAGACTATGTTTTACCAGTCTTTATAAATTGCTATCCATTATTTGTTTCAAGATGGTAAGGAAAGCCATTTGAAAAAGGAAATACCATAGACAAGTCTATGTTTTGAATTTATTTTAGAAGGGGAAAAGTGAAACCACTCAGTGTTATTTACACCCAGTGGTATTCTGTGGAAATCTCTGTATAAAGACCCTCATGGAAGATAAACAAAGCAAGGAGGGCTAGACACAGTTACCTGAATACACATCTCATAAAATGAGATTTTACTAAGATGTGAAATATTCCATAAAAGTTATTTGTTAAAGCAGAATAGAGTTCAAGGACCATTGAGGAGAGTACATACACATTTACTTATGTTTTGGAGGCAGACTGAAAATGGAAAATGTAGAGAATGGGTGAGAAGGCTATTTGAGTAGTGGAAAGGAAAAAGGGATTGGCAGGACTTATGAGAAAGAGATAAAAAATGAACTCTAGGGCAAAGGAAAAAAAACATTTCAGTTACAAAAAGAAAAGTTGGAAACTTTCACTAAACTCAAAAGAGCTAACTCTATACAGCTCTCTAAGATCTACGAACACAAATGCAGAGAGTCATCAAGCGTTAGGTTGAATAGTGTTAAGCAAGTTACATGTTCTAAGGTCTGACTGACAAAATTGATTTGAATAGTTACTAGAACCAGTGGCTACCTAGGGCTTCCCTGATAGCTCAGTTGGTAAAGAATCCGCCCGCAATGCGAGAGACCTGGGTTCGATCCCTGGGTTGGGAAGATCCCTTGGAGAAGGGAAAGGCTACCCGCTTCAGTATTCTGGCCTGGAGAATTCCATGAACAGTCCATGGGGCCTCAAATAGTCGGACACGACTGAGCGACTTTCATGTTCACTTTCATGAGTGAAAGTACAGAATGAGTGGCTTAAAATTAGCCTGCTGTGAATGGCTATGGCAAGAATTAGATGCAAAGTGCTTCACTTGGTTTCTTCCAGAAGGCATGAAGCCTGAGAAAGAGAATATAACAGGGACTGCAGATGGATGGCTGTGAGTCTAACTTCTCCACAGAAGACAGACGCAGAGTGTCTTTAAGATCAGTCAATCCAGTGATTGGCCACTAAAGGAAGGAAGAGGCAGAACTGAGGGCAGGAAGAGGGAGATGTTCTGTTTTGGAAGGAAGTATTAACTTATGAAATTAGAGAGAAAGTGCATCCTGTTGGTGGCTTTGAGGCAGGTGTCCGAGTAAATCATTTAAACTAAGTCCCAAAGTATGTTTCCTCATTTGAACAAGGAGGGACTTATGATAAGTTCCTAATAGAGTTGTTGGCATTAAAGAAACAAAGAGACAACATTATACAAATACAACATACACATAAACAATTCTCCCCTTGAATTTCATCTCTAGGCATCTTGCCGCAGTCACCTGCCCACCCCCTGCTTCCTGACCCCACCCTTAGTTTCTCATTTCTTCTCATCCTCCCTCCATTCAAGAATCTTTAATGGAGTTTGCACTCACTCTACTTTCTGAACTTGGCCTTAAACTAATTTCAGATGACTTTTCCTACAATAGTGCTCACAACATGAAGTTTCCCAGCCTCGGTTAGGCAAAGTGAAATAAAACACCCAGGAATCAGAGAAGGTGCAGGCAGCATGTAACACTAGGGTCAAAGGACTTGGAGACAAGAGTGATGGGTATAGATTGGGTCTCTAGAAGTTAAATGCTCTGAACTACAATTCCTTAGCCTGCTAAAAGTGATAATAAAACTCACGCAAAAAGTCCGTTGGGATAATCAAATACATATTTTAATTAAACATTAGTTTTGAAAAATCCTATACTCCATTCCTCTGAATCCCTTGGATCTAGAAAAAGCTTAGCTAATTTGTTCATGCAGCCATAAACCAAACAATTATTCACTCTATAAATACTTAGTAGGGACTTTAGCAAACTTTCCAAAAAGCTAACCTGTAAAGAAAAATGAAATTAAAGGCAAACAGAATAAGAGTATTGCATTCATTATGCCTACCTCCAAAAATAATCTTATCAAGCTTCTAAAAAGACAGGGCCCTAGAGATTTTCTGCATCAAGTTTTTAATATTGTGCAACTCATTAATCAAAGAAACACAATCTAAATAAAGAGTAACTGTCATATGGCCATAAATTATAAGCTTGAGGAAAACCTACACAGTAAAGCAGTGGGATAAAAGATGATTACACATTTTTTTTTTCTTACGTTAGTTCCAGGTAACATGCTTGGCATTTGTAACTAACTGGATTGAATGAAAGAAGTATGTTGACTAAATGAATGAACGAATGACCATCAGTCTCAGAAGCATCACTTTCCAGTGATGCCAACAATCTATTAGACATGAAATTATTCACGCAAATTTTGAAGCAACTTTAAAAATGATGATGACAATGATGAAAATAGAGATGATGATGATGCTGAAATTGGTAACAAAAGCAACAGGGCTTACTCCGCCTCAGGCACTGTTCACAGCACTTTATATCTATTAACTAACTTTGTCTTTAGGTAACAGTTTAGTTAACATTTAACTCTGAAGGAAGGTTTTAGTATTATTTCCATTTTACATAACAGAAACTAAGGCAAAGATTGATGAGCAACTTGCTTAAGATCCTACAACTAATAAGTTGCAGAGCTGGAATTTGAACCCAGGCAGTAGCTAGGAACAAACTGAAAATTATCACAGGGCAAAGCAAGTGCCCATAATCATAACTACTGACTTTGTATAACAATTACTTACATTAAAAACATAAAAATCTGGGTTGATACGCTAGGTTCATTTTATATACATAGAGTAAATATTGCAAGATTGTCAAAATACAGTGCAAAGTACTATTCAAAGAGCTAATGTCAAAGTAGAACACCACACCACACCACAATGAACTCTGAAATGTTCACTTTAAGCTGTAGCTCAAACAGAAGAAAAAAACAATTGAGAAATCTAGGTTGCAGAAAAAAGTTGGAAGGATTGAGGCTCATTTGTGCATGTTTGTCAGGAATTTCTCATGTAAAAAAAGAAAAGTAATTTAGTAATTAATTTTAGAATTAGGTTTCACTCAAGTTATCCTTAGCTTGGTCTTTTCTATAAAATAAAAACAACTATAAATTAAAAAAACATTAAATTGAAATAAAATATTCTTATTCACATAAATAGAATACCTCAACACATCCATAGTTTTCGGTGATGTCAGTAGTTCTGTCTGCATACCATTCATAACTTCTCCATCTTCTAATTCCTCTGTGGAATTCTGTAGTGAAACAAACCATAAGCATGTGGATGCTATGCACATAAAATTGAAAATTTGAATAAAAAGTCTCAACGGAAGAGAATAAATGGTTTTATGCTGGATATATACAGTGCACTCCAATTTTTTTGAAGGCTGGAAAAAGGTGTTAATCTTTTCAGTGTTGTCAATGTTCTTTTCTCTTCCGTTTGGTTTCTGAAATACTCACATGGACCATTTACACAAGGCAGTATGTTAAGAGCTTTGGAATACATCAGCTTCCTGCTTCTCAACCATAAGCATGCGGACTGAGTGTTTTAAATCAGCAAGGGAAAGGGGTACCAAAGTGAAGGTGCCACTGACAGGGGGTGATGTATTAGCTTTAATGTACTGTACTTGCTCGCACCCCCCTCAGTGACACAAAATATAAAGAAAGCAAAATCCATGAAAAAAAAGTTTCCTGGCAAGGTCACTTCTATCAAAATTGTAGCAGGAAAAGTGCAGGATAAGAAATCTGGAGTTCTCACTTGTCTTAAGACTTTCATTCTGAGGATGCTCTTCAGCACAGAGAAACTAAAATTAACCATTTAACTTCTAAAATGGTAAACGGTCTTCTACTACAGAGAAGGAAGAGGGTGAGAGAGGTCTTGCACTCCAGGACCTTGACAAAATTGAATTGGATGTTACATAGAGGAGAGAATAGATTCCAGAAAGTCAGCCCACTTTAGAGTCTCATTTAAGTAAGACATTAGTTCTCTGTTAGGCTTTGGAACTGAACTCTAACAGAGTAATTTTGCAGACACACCACTCTTCAGGATCCCAGCCACAGATAGCACATGTTAAGGACCTGAGTTTCAGTGAACAACCACATGGAGTGTTCATGGGTCTAAAGACGCAATTTCAATAAAAAAAACAGAATAGATGAGTTAAAAGGTTGGACATAAAGGAATAAGGTTAACATTTGGAAGAAAACAAGACATGGAGGCACAAATTAAGCAGTGTGTCACTGTGAATTGATTTTTTAAAATGTATTTCATTTTTAGATTGAAAAGCAACATCTCAAACTTAGGGGTTAAGAGTTTTGTGAAGGACTTGATCTGCCCTAAATTTTTAAACATTTATTTGCTTTCTCCTCTTCATTAAGAAAGGAAAAAAAGTCCAAAAAGTTAAGGGATACATTTTAGTTGAAGGCACCAAATCTTAAAAGATGAATGGTTTCGAAAGTTCTCAGACTTTCACGTTATTATGAAGTGCTTGATATATGTTTACATCAAACGACACTGAATTGGGGAGGTTACAAAAGACTTGAGTAGACAATTTAATAAAATATATCATATCATCATTTGACAGGACTAGAGCCCATATCAAAACATTTGATGACTGCATTTATGTCAAAATCATTAACTTTCTCATCTATCACAAGAGGGAGCTCTATAAAGGTGGAGGCTGTATCTAGTCCTGTCTATATTAAGCACACAACACACAGGATTCATTTAGTGAATGTTAATGAATAAATAAGTTGAATGGCATTGTATTAGTTTCCTAATGATCTGCAATAAGTTCAAAATTGAGTTCACTTCAGTTCAGTCGCTCAGTCATGTCTGACTCTGTGACCCCATGGACTGCAGCATGCCAGGCTTCCCTGTCTAGCACCAACTCCCAGGGCTGACTCAAACTCATATCCATTGAGTTAGTGATGCCATCCAACCATCTCATCCTCTATCATCCCCTTCTCCTCATGCCCCCAGTCCCTCCCAGCATCAGCATCTTTTCCAATGAGTTAGTTCTTCACATCAGCTGGCCAAAGTATTGGAGTTTCAGCTTCAGCATCAGTCCTTCCAATGAATATTCAGGACTGATTTCCTTTAGGATGGACTGGTTGATCTCCTTGCAGTCCAAGGGACTCTCAAGAATTTTCTCCGACACCACAGTTCAAAAGCATCAATTCTTTGGTGCTCAGCTTTCTTTATGGTCCAACTTTCACATCCATACATGACCACTGGAAAAGCCATAGCTTAGAGTAGATGGACCTTTGTTGGCAAAGTAATGTCTGCTTTTTAATATACTGTCTAGATTTGTCATAGCTTTCTTCCAAGGAGCAAGTGTCTTTTAATTTCATAGCTGTAGTCACCATCTGCAGAGATTTTGGAGCCTAAAAATAAAGTCTCTCACTGTTTCCATTGTTTCCCCATCTATTGGCCATGAAGTGATGGGACTGGATGCCATGATCTTAGTTTTCTGAATGTTGAGTTTTAAGCTTACTTTTTCACTCTCCTCTTTCACTTTCATCAAGAGGCTCTGTAGTTCTTCACTTTCTGCCAAAAGGGTAGTGTTATCTGTGTATCTCCCACAGTGTCTGTGAGGGACTTAGAATTGACTTGGTTGGGTGGTTCGAGGTTAGAATCTCTCATTGAGGTTGAATTCAGGCATCAGCAGGGCTGCAATTACAGTCATCTAAAGGCTTGAGTGGAATTTTAAGACCCAAGATAAAGAATCTGCTGCCGTGTGGGAGACCAGGGTTTGATCCCTAGGTTGGGAAGATCCCCTGGAGAAGGAAGTGGCAACCCACTCCAGTATTCTTGCCTGGAGAATCCCATGGACCAAGGAGCCTGGTAGGTTATAGTACATGGGATCACAAAGAGTCAGAAATGACTAACACTTTCACTTATTTTTTTCTTTATAAAAGCTTTATTAAGATATGATGTACATAACATTAAATTCACCCTTTGAAAATAGTACAATCCAGTCTTCTTAAACTTATTCACAGAGTTTTGCAACCATTGCCAATATCTAATTTTAGAGTAATTTCAAAATTCCACAAAATAACCTCATACTCATTATCCAGAACAGCCCATCCTTCCTGCTTACCAGATCCCATTGCAATCATTAATTTGCTGTCTGTTACTAAGGTTTTACCAGTTCTGAACAATTTTTTATAAACAGAATCATAAGATATGTGGCTTCTATCATTTAGCATGATGTCCTTAAGACCCTCCCATGTTGTGGCATGTATCAGTATTTCATCCCCTTTTTTGGTTAAGTAATATTCCACTGTATGTATGTAGCACATTCAGTCTACTCATTACTCGATAGGCATTTGAGTTGCACTCATCTCTCATGCTAGCAAAGCAATGCTCAAAATTCTCCAAGCTAGTCTTCAATAGTACGTGAACCAAAAACTTTCAGATATTCAAGCTAGATTTAGAAAAGGTAGAGAAACCAGAGATCACATTGCCAACACCTGTTGGATCATCAAAAGAGCAAGAGAGTTCCAGAAAAACATCTGCTTTGTTGACTACGCCAAAGCCTTTGACTGTGTGGATCACCACAAACTGTGGAAAATTCTTAAAGAGATAGGAATACCAGACCACCTGACCTACCTCCTGAGAAATCTGTATGCTGGTCAAAACGCAACACCTAGAATTGGACATGGAATAACAGATTGGTTCCAAATAGGGAAAGGAGTACATCAAGGCTGTATATTGTCACTGTGCTTATTTAACTTATATGCAGAGTAAATCACGCAAAATTCTGGGCTAGATGAAGCACAAGCTGGAATCAAGATTTCTGGGAGAAATAGCAATAGCCTCAGATATGCAGATGAAACCACTCTTAATGGCAGAAAATGAAGAAAAACTAAAGAGACTCTTGATGATGGTGAAAAGAGGAGAGTGGAAAAGCTATCTTAAAAGTCAACATTCGCAAAACTAAGATCATGGTATTCAGTCTCACCACTTCAGAGCAAATAGATGAGGAAACAATTCCTGGCATGCTGCAGTCCATGGAGTGGCAAAGAGTCAGACACAACTGAGCAACTGAACTGAATTGATTTCAGTTGTTTCCACACTTGCTTATGATTATGAATTATGTTGCTCTGACCATTTGAAATAGTGTTCAACTCTGAAATAATGCTAAGAATAAGAAGTTCTTGTGTATGCCAATATGTTTCATTTCTCTCAGGTATATACTGAGGAGTGGAATTGTCGGGTCAGATAGTAACTATATGCTTAACATTTTGAGGACAACTATAGTATTTCTAAATTTTCTGCACAATTTTGGATTCCCATCAGTAATATCTGGGGGTTCCAAATTCTCCAAATCCTTGCCAACACTTGTTGCTTTCCTTTAAACAAAACTTAGTCATCATAGTGAGTGTTAAAGTTTTAATTGTGTATGCCTAAAAAGTAATGATTTTCATTTCCCTAATGATAAATGATGGTGAGTATCTTTTCACATGACTGTTAGACATTTGTGTATCTTCTTTGGGGAAATGCCTAATTATTTGTATATTTATTGTTGAATTGTAAGATTTTCCTAAATATTCTGTGTACAAATTCCTTGAAAAGAAGGCCAAAGTGAAATATTAGTCACTCAGTTGTGTCTGATTCTTTGCAACCCTATGGACTGTAGCCCACCAGGCTCTTCTGTCTATGGAATTCTCCAGGCAAGAATATTGGAGTGGGTTGCTATTCCCTTCTCCAGGGGATCTTCCTAACCCAGTGATGGAACCTGGGTCTCCTGCCATTGCAGGCTGATTCTTTACCATCTGACCCAGAATTCCAAATTACCATCTGACCCAGAATTCCAAAATTTCTCCCATTCTATGGGCTCTGACTTCACTTTCTTGATGGCCCCTTGAAGCACAAAAGTTTAGAATTTTAATGAAGTGCAATTTATGTTTTCTTCTGTTACTTGTGTTTGGTGTTGTATCTAAGAAATAGTGCCTAATTCAACGTCACAAAGATTTATTCCTGTATTTTTTCCTAAGAGTTTTGTAGTGTTGGCTCTTGTATTTAGGTCTATTACCATTTTGAGTTAATTTTTGTACATGGTGTGAGGTAGGGGATACAATTTTTTCTTTGCATGCAGATATTAAGTTATGCCAGCATTAGTTGTATTAATGTCCTTATCAAAACTCATTTGACCAAAAGTGAACGGTTGATTTCTGGACTCTATATTTTATCCCATTGATCTGTATTCCATGTCAGTACTACATAGTCTTGCATATTGTAGCTTTGTACTAA